TAGGCAGCTGAATAGGAAAGCTTTCCACAACTTGCCCCACTATCCCTCATTTCTTGTAGGCAAGTGCATCGGGTTAGCAGGGACAGATATTCAGCGGAAAACGGGACTATATACCAGCAATAGCGCTGATTAATAGTTGTTTTGAAACGTTTTCAAAAAGATTGGTTAAGGATGCTTGGGGATTACATAAACTTTTACAATGACTGATCTTCCGTCTTATAAGAAATTTTTTTCCGACGTTAACAAAAATGTCGTTCAACATGCGGACATATGCGAAAGATTGATACTCTTTCGCTAAACGGCATTGACTCAGGTTGTGATACTGATTCTTGTGTAGTCTATTCAGAAGCCAGTTCAGTCATGATAGGATGCGGGCTTTTTAATGAACTTCGTTCTGATCACTAAAAAAACGTATGTACTGCGAAAAATAACTAATTAAATGGCATACGCATGTATCAGGGAATTTGACTGCCTTTATAAATTCAAATATATTGTATGGAAAACGTGAACGAAAAAATATTTATTGTACTCGTTTGGTAGCAAATTATGCCTTGTTTAAATTTTATACGCCCTTATGCGCCGCGCACACCTTCAATTTACACGGGGAGCTCCCAGCGGCCGCGGGAAGCAACTTCGACTACATTTTTTCACTTCACACTTTCTTCTAAAAATTTCCTTCTCTGTCTATCCCATTTCCTTACGCCATAAAACTCTATAACCACCGTTTTTGCAGGACAAAATGCTGGGTCTAGGGGTATATGAGTGGGGCTACATAAGCTACTTTTCCCCCAGAGACTTTCAAAAATGTCTCATGCCTACCGAAAATACAGCCACATGAGACGATCTCTGACGGATGAGATAGTACAACATGCTCGTATATTAGGGCTGATCAAGATGCCCTCGTTCGCTGGGCCTAACAGTAGACATGCTCGTTATGGTTGCCCATGTTCAGTTTATTAAATTTTAGTCAGAAGAACACGACAAAGTTCATTTTCCTAACTGAATAGAAAAGAACGGCGAAAGAGTGTCCGCTAAATTCACTTAAAATACACAGATTAGGAACGGTCAAGAACAAACAGAGGCCAGTCATAAGCACACAGTCCGTTCTACAAGATTGCCTAAAAGATACAGCGGTATCAGACTACCTCAAAAATGTGAAAAACGAAGGAGAAGAAGAAGACCTACCTCCATCTGGCCGTATCCATCAGAGCCCTCGTGCGGGAAGGGTGAAAGGCAGGCATTGGGTGAAACCTTCGCTATCAGACGGTACTCGCACACTTTTTTGTAATGATTGTCTGTGGTTTCTGTGGCGTCGCAGGCGATAGCAACTTCGCTCTCCGTGGCATTGACGTATATGGACAGTATATACGCACCTGGCTTCGGTGGGCGTACATAGACGGCCAAACGACTCTCCTTTTCCAGAACCTCGTGGCGTGCATAGTGTCTGAAATGCAGAAAAGATGTGTCGTCAAAACCGAGACAATTTGGGATATGCAGGGCATGTTCGACTATCGATTTCGACTACAGTATTACGAGGGCTGCATGCAAAAAATAATGGCGAAAATTTTATTGGTATTTAGACCTTTATGCGATCACGTTATTTTGACCTTAGAAAAGTTCCCTTTTAGTTCAGTCTACTGACGGTAATAGGCATTCCTTTTGGCGAAATCGAAAGTTGCCTGATATCGAAGAAATTTCCTATGGTATTAAGTATGACAGAACCAAAATTTTTATCGATGTGCATTGTGCTATGGGAGAACCCCAAAATAAATGAGAAAAGTTTAAAACATATCCGTTCCTGAACGGAAAAATTTAGTTCGAAGTTGAAACAAGCAACAATGTCTGCTAATGCGTGAAGCTTCGTCGTCATATATACGTATAATAAGCCAAGAATGGCCATCCAAGTTTCCCTTGTCTTTCTCAGTAATGTACTTCTGCCTATACTATTAGCTGCCTTGCGGCGTAGGCTCGAGTGTGAGCTCCAAAGGCAATATGGACGGACGAGTGTCTCCTCTGAATGATCGGTGTACGCCTATCTGCCGCTATATATGCATATTCCTTTATTTTATTGCCTTCATCATCCTCGTAAGAGGACGAAGCGGAGGGGCAATTCCTGCGACCGAGTTATATTTAACCTGATGTTTCGAAAAAATTATCCATCTCATCTTCACAAAGTGTTACCTAATTTTTCACCGGCCTCGAATGAATGCGT